AGTGCAAATATAATTGCCATACTCAAGATGAGCCAACTCACTACATTCACTCAAATTCATATAATCATTTAAAACTGTCCTAGCCCCCTACAAACTTCACCAGCTTTCCCAGTATCCACAACTGAAACTGCTAAAGCCATTGTTGCTATCATCAATTTTGAGTGTTATAAGAAGTTTAAGCGTAAGATTATCCAGAAAATGTGGAGGAGAGGGCAGATATTTCTGAAATCCTAATGAAACCTTAATGAAACTAGAATTTACATAATTACAATAGATTCACTGATTTCCAGTCTGATGCTAATGTCACTCTTTTTTTCTCCAAAAAATAAGTACAGAAATAAATGATAATACATTTCTTTAAATACTGAAAGCTAAATGTCTAGGAGTAGAAAAGTGACTTTAATCTCATTAGAGGTTCCATGTCTAAACCAAATAAATTATAAATTGATACATAGTGTTGTACAATATATACTAGTTAATGTGGTTAAACATGAAAAGGCCTACATTTTTAGGAAAGAATTTATTTTGGGTCATTTTGTAGCTTTCATGAGATTTTTCTTCCCAATCTATATTTTGAAAAAGTCAAAAATCTACAGAAGAGTTATAAAAATAGAACAATAAACAACCATATACTCTTCATTTAGGTTCCCTAATTGGTAATGTTTTGCCATATTTGCTTTTCCTCTTGCTCTGCCAGTGTATTTGTATGCATTATTTTTCTGAATCATTTGAGAATTACTTGCAGACATCACGACTCTTCACCTCTGAACATGTCGTTGGGTACCTGCTAAGAATAAAGGACAACCTACCACATAACTACAATATAATTAACATAATTAGGAAAAGTAATGTCAATATGACTAGCTCATAACTTATCTTAAAGTTCCCCCAATTGTCCCAATTCTGATTTTCAGAGTTGTTTTTAATCCAGGTTCCAACTGAAGATTCCACATTAAATTGTCATGTTTCTAGTCTCCTTTAATATGATACCATTCCCAAGCTTTTTTGTGTCACACATCAACATTTTTAAAGAGTTCAGCTCACTTATTTTGCAGAATGTCCCTTAATTTGGATTCTTCTGATTGTTTGCTTATTAGACTCAAGTCAGACGTTCTTTGAAAAAGCCCTACAGAGGTGAAGTTGTGTCCTCAATGCATCAAGGGGGTACATGATGTCGGTTTGCCCAATTATTGGTGATGTTAAGCTTGACCATTTGACTAAGGTGGTAATACCCACAAGATTTCTCTGTAATAAAGCTATGTTTCCTCTTTATGATACTTTTGAGACTGTATACAGTGCTGTGCAGTAATAAATTTGAGCAATAGCATGAACAGTGCTATGTGTCCAATGAGAGGACGCTGCTAAAGGAGAACTCTTGACAAGTGGTGCCAAAAGGACAGAGCTCCAAATTCTCAACCATGAGCTAAAATGTGAAAGCCCACATTCATCACAGCAATGTAGAGATATCAGTATGCAATATGAGAGCATTCAGGTTATATCAAAGTCTACTAGGTAACTGCTATTAAAGGCCCTTCTGGTTGACGCTGATGGTCGGTCACCTACCCAAAAGCTTTTTCCAGCTTCCACCCTTATTGACAGAGTCCACTTTACAAGATGGTAGCTGCAAAGACACCTGTTTTCCCAGTCACTTTTGCAGTTATGGCACATGCATGCAACTCAATTTTGGCAAGTGCAATTGGAGGAAAAGAGGTTTCTTCTCCATAAAATGAGGTGAGAAATATTCACTACCCTCTACTTGAACAGTTTCATGAAGACAGGATGCTTACAGCTGTAGCAACCAAAAGCCTGGGAGCTTGGTGACACTGTAGTGTCTGAACTACTTACCTACAAACTTCTTGTTCTGTGAAATAAAAACTTATTGGTTAGGCCATTTGAAGTCAAGTCCTCTGTTATTTTCAGCCCAAAGCATCCCGAGTGATAACTAGCCCTAAAGGAAAAAATAAGCCTTTAACAAAAGCAACTACACCAGGTAAAAAAATAAATACTGGAACTGGGTTACTAACTTTCAAACACACATCAAGTACTAATGCCCTAAAACATCCATTATACCTAATAACTCCTATGCATCTAGCTCTGTGCCATCCTTGAAAAAACTGAAAAAATAATCACTCAAATTGTTTTCTCTAGGAACCCTGGTTGAGGAAGTCTAAGCTTCTGGTAGGGACATTGTCTCACTTCTCCACCTACCTGAACCCACACTTTATCTCACAGGCCCAGACACCCTTCGCCACCCCCACTAAAAAAAAAGCAAATAAACCTTTGGAAACTAAACCACCAAATACTGGCAAGTATAGAAAGTTACCCTTAGCAAGGTTTCTTCCCAAATACTTTATTGCTTCTTCCAAGGAAGATTAACAACATTCACCTTCTTTCCTAATGATACCTGTTTTTATACCCCCTTACACCTTACCCACCTACCCTATAGTAACCAATCTGTTCTCTGTGTTTATGAGTCTATTTCAGTTTTGTTTGTTCATTTTGTTTTAGATCATACAGTATTCATCTTTCTCTGCCCAGCTTATTTCACTTGGCATAATTCCAGCTAGGTCCATACATATTGTTGCAAATGGCATGATTTCATGGGAGTGATATTTCATTATATATGTGCGCCATGTTTTTTATCCATTCATCTATTGATGGACATTTAGGTAGTTTCCATATTTTGGCTATTGTAAATAATACTGTGATTAAACATAAGTGTGCATATATCTTTTTGGCTTAGTGGTTTCTTTTCTTTTGGTAGTGATTTTGTTTTCTTTTGGTAGTAATTTTGTCCTATTTCCCAGAAGTGGAATTGCTGGGTCATATGGTATTTCTCCTTTTAGTTTTTTGAAGAACCTCCATACTGCTTTCCACAGTGGCTGCACCAATTTGCAATCCCAAGCAGCAGTATAACAAGGTTCTTTTCTCCACATCCTCTCCAACACTCATTTGTCTTCTTGATATTAGCTATCTGACTGGTGTGAGGTGTAATCTTGAGAGGGAGAGACCACATTCATATAATTATTATAATACTGTTAGAATTATTCTGTTTTATTGTTAGTTATTATTAATCTCTTAATGTGACTATTAATAAGTTAAACTTTATCACAAGTATATATGTATGGAAAAACCAGTGTATCGAGATTTAGGTATGGTTCCAGGCATCCCCTTGAGGCAGGTGTTAGTCAGACACAGGCAGATAGAACTCAAGGTCCTGCCCGGTAAAGCTCAGGCACAAGGGAACTCGGGTCAAGGCTTTACAGTAAAGAAGCCTCATCCCTGACATCAGAGAAGATGCAGCCTGAGGAAAAAGGGAATTTTTCTTTTCCTTTGATCCTAGCTCTGCCATAGCAATAGGCCCTAGCAACAACTCCCAACCACTTGTGTGGTTTACTCCATTTCTGAATTTATAAACCCTAGACAGTGAAGCTCTAACGGCGTCCTCCCTTGGACGACCTCCTGATAAGCAGAAGCTTTCCTTTCTTCTTTCACTCTTTTATTAAACTTTCTGGTTGCTTCATACTCTTGTCTGCTGGCTTCATTTTTCATTGCCTCCAAGACACAATCCTGGGAAAAACAGAATCTCAGCTGGTAACTCCCTGGTGGCTGTTGGACCGTAATCTGCAGATAAGGGGGGACTGCTGTACTGAGGTCTGCATTAAAAAAAATAAGGGTGTTAGATGGAAGAACAGATGGAGGGATGTGATATATAGCAAATACGGCAAAATGTTAACTGTAGAGTACAGGTGGTGGATGTATGGGTGTTCACTGTGTTGTCTTTTCATTTTTCTGTATGTTCGTTAAGACAGAACACAATAAAAAAGCTGGACTCTGAACAAACACATAGCCAGAGGGCCACCAAAGCGGTTGAAAAACAGGAGTCCGAGCAGGCATTCCCTACTGGGTCACAGAAAGACCTCAAGGCCACCTACCACCCCTTCCCACCCACTCGAGCTACGGCCCAGGCTGCCTGGCAGCCTGCAAGCCCTGGCGCTGCGGGTCTACCGCACCTCGGCCTGGGGTGCCTGCTAGCCCGGTCTCAGTCCGTTCTCAAAACACACTCCATCACCTGGTTCCCAGAACTCAGATTGCGCAGTGGTCACGTCATCATCGACCAGGGCTCAGTTATGGCGGCAGAGGCCTCTCTGATCCTCCCTATCTCTAGCCTAACCTAATCTCCCCTCCCCCGGTCCCCAGGCCCCACTTCGCCAGACACATTTTCATAATCCTCTCAAGTTCCGGGCAAGCGGAGACCTGATCATATAAGGAAAATACAACAAGCTCATCCAGGGGCTGTATCGGGAACCCCTGACTACGACCCTCGCAGCACCATCCGCCCGCCTACCTCCCTTTTTCTCCCCGGATCCCCGGACCTGCGGAGCCCCGGAGCCCCAGCTTCCCGCCAACCAACCGGTGTCGGCCTCTGCAGCTCCACCCAGCACCCACCCCAACCCCGCGAGAGCGGTTCAGCCAATCCCCTCTCGCCGCCCTCCGCGCCCGGCCCCCTTGACTTCCGGCCCCGGCGCCCACCGGCCCGCCCCTCGTTTGTCTGAAGTCCTTTCCACGCTTTCGGCACCTAGTCGCGGTGCCTAGAGTGATGTAGGGAGGGGAACATTACTTAACTGTTGGAGGGGATTCATAGAGGCCAGGGACAAGGTGGAGACGGTAAACTCAAATCATTCTCTCAATGTGCAGATAAAAGTCTTTAAAAACAGGGGTGCGAGGGGGAAATCCGCTCGCAGGGATCTCCCTGTACGCCTACGCCCGTCTCCTGGGGACAACTCCGGTCAAAGGTTCCCGCGGGAAGGCGCGAATAGGGCAGCGACCGGCCAAACGGCGAGGGGAGCTCCGGCAGTCCGAGGCGCCCATAGGCGGAGCCTGGGAAGTAGAGGACAGGGCAGGGGCGCGGCCTCGCGGGGCACCGCCCTCTCTCCCTTAAAGTCAGGGGGTGGGTGGCGGCCCTTTTGTGTCGCCGGAAGGGAAGCTCGTCGCTGTTGTACTCCGCCGCTGACATGGCCCTGCTCCGAGGTGAGCATCGCGCCGCGAGACTGCTTCTCCTGGCCTCTTGGGGGTCTCGCTGTCCCCGGCCAGGCCTCGCGTCCCGTTTCAGCGGAGCATTGGTGGGGGTCTCATCGACAATAAAGGGGACTTGATAAAGACCCAACCCAGAAGGACCGTTTGGGTTCAGAAGAAAACAAACTTGTAAGTTAGCACTAGCGACAATGATTTCGGTGACATTTCCATTTGAGATTTGAGACCACGGTTTGCTTGCATCGGACCTTGAAGGTCACTGCCCTTCTTCGCGCAGAAGTGACCCTCCTTGTTCCTGGTCAGCTATTAGGAAAACGCGAGCGGCCCCATGAGCGCCACACGGCCTGGGGCAGAGCGGTGCGTCGCAGACAGCTCGTTGCTCCGCCTGCGTCACGTGGTGGGCGGGGCTTGCAGAAAAGACTGATACTCTTCTAGGATAGCTGGGAATTTCTTCCCGAGTGACCTGCACCCCCGGAAGGCTTAGTGGCGTTCTTTTGGGAGACTAGACTTAACCTCCTTCCCTTCCATCCCTTTAGCTTGAATGACTCCAAGAAAGTGCAGTCACTAATAACTTGTTCTTAATTATGTAAACTCCCTTCTCATAACAAATAGACACAGTCAATGGAGTTTTAATTTTAAAGAATATGAAGAAGCAATATCCCAGTTTTTTTATTAGCACCCATACCAGCGCTTGATAGGAGGGTTGCACCCAACAAATAGTTGTCTTACTATTATTTAGCTTTGCTGGGAATATTTGTGTATCCCTTCAAGGCAAGTAGCCGGGGCTACCAAATTACTTGAACCGTGAAACTTGAATGGATACAGTAGCCTCAGTTTTCCTTAATTTATCTTGGTTGCTCTCAGTAGTTGCCGTAATTAAGTGAGTACTTACATACCTAAAAATGTGATAGGAAGGTAGAGTTTCTGTTTCTCTTCTAGGGTCTTATACTAGAAGAGAACTAGTTTCTTTCTTACACTGTCACATCAGTGCCTGTTCCTGGGCCCGTTCTTGGCGTTTCAGACTCCCTGTGCTCTAGATTAATAGGTGTTCTGTCTTTCAGTTTTTGGAAATCTTTAGCTTCTGGGTTTTCAGAGCCTTTTAAAATAAACAAGATTTTAGTTTGGCATTAAAATTGTTAAGTTTAGACTTTTTAACAGCCTCATAAAATTGACGTCGGATCAGGTAATGATTGCCATAATACCCGGTTTGTGAAATTACAAGAAAAAAATCCTTTAGCCAGTCTTTGTACCTGCAAATCTGTTTTTTTTTTTAAAATACATTTAGTAGCATTTACCCCATTCAAAATAGTCGTAATAGTTTAATGTTAGCCTTACTCAAGTTAACCTTTACAGTCTGGAAGCACCAACTAAGCAAAAGGTGATATAAGTCAAGGGGAAGTTATTGCTTGTGTTTTTATTTTCCCACACACACTCCTTTTGCAGATAACTCATATTTCACCATCAGCACTACTACACACAAAATGCTTTCTCTAGATTGTAAACTATGGAGGAAAGTCATGGAAAAATATAAGATTAGCCCCTCTTGTTTCTGATAAGTCAACAGTCATTTGAATAATTTCCATGTACACAGTATGTCATTTTTTCTAGCTTTTAAGGTTTTCACTTTATCTTTAGTTTCAGAAGTTTGACAATGATATGCCAAAGGTGAGTGACTCTGTGTGTGTGTGTGTGTGGCATTTACTCTGAAGTGTACTGAGCTTGAATTTGTAAATTTATGTCTTTTATCAAATTTGGGGGATTTTTAACTATTTCTTCAGATTTTTTTCTATACATTCCTCCTGTGACACTAGTTACGTTGTTGGTCTTTGGAGTTCTATCCATATTTTTTTAATCTGCCTTTTTAAAAATTATTAAACACTTTTTTGAGCAGTTTTAGGTTTATAGACAAAGTGAGCAGGAAGTACAGGGCATTCATATATGACCCCTACCTTGCCCTGGCATCCCTTTATTATTAATATCTTACATTCAAATGGTACATCTGGTACAATTGATGAGCCAATATTGATACATTATTAACTAAAGTCTATTGTTTACATTAAGGTTCACTCTTTGCGTTGTACAGTCTGTGGGTTTTGGCAAATGTATAATGAAATGTTTCACTACCTTAAACTCCCCTGTGCTCCACCTACTCATTCCTCTTTCCCCTTCCCCAGCCCTTGGCAACCACTGATATTGTTACTGTCTCTGTAATACTTCCTTTTCAGGATGTCATATAGTTGGAATCATACAGTGTGTAGCCTTTCCAGGTTGGCTTCTTTCACTTAGCATATGCTTTTAAGTTTACTCCATGTCTTCATGACTTGATAGCTCATATCTTTTTATTACTGAATAATATTCTTTTGCATGGATGTACCACAGTTTATTATCCATTACCTACTGAAAGACGTCTTGGTTGCTTCCAAATTTTGTCAATCATGAATAAAGCTGCTATAAACATCCACGTGCAGGCTTTGTGTGAGCATAGTTTTCAACTCCTGTGGGTAGACACCAAAGAATGTAATTGCTGGATCACGGTTATGTGTGATTTTCATTCATTGGAAGACCAAACTGTCTTCCAAAGAGGCTGTATTTTGCATTCCCAGCAGCAGTGAATAAAAAATAGCTAATTTTTATGGTGTTTTATAAATATCTAAATACTGTATCATGAAGAACTGATTGGATCTGTTCTAAATTATAGTTACATAAGCTGCTTCTAACATTCTTTTAGATGTAAACTTCTTAAAGTAGGAATGAAAGAAGAGGCTGAGATTCTTTTTTTAAGTTGGGGTTTAATTTGTTCCTTGGAAAGCGATCACTAACACAAACAGAATGACTCTACCTAAATACCAATAGCAGTAGACTGAATGGTCCCAGAGATAGGCCAGTATCTTAGCACAAACCGTCGTTAAAAGTCCCATAATGTCTTGGCAGGATGTGGAAGTAAGCTTGAATTGTTTTGGGGAGAATTAGTTGGCAGATGCAAAGCACTGAGCATGAAGGCTATCACATAGTGCCCTGTATGTTAGCTGTAATATTTACCTTGGAGAATTGAGAAGATGAGATAATACATGAAAACTGATCAGATAGCTAGCACTCAGTAGGTGCCTAATAAATGTACGTATGTGATGAAACTGCTGTGACCAGTGTGCAGCTTTTGCATTGCACAACACCTATCATAGTCATTGTAGATGTGTATAACCATAACAGAGTTTTTTATTTGGCAGGTGGTAGAACAGTGTCTTGGGAAGGGGCAATTTTTATATATTTGTTCAAGGACATTAGTTGAACTAATAGTGATGTTATAAATTTACAGTCTTAGTTTGCACTAATATGTGTGTAGATAATTCCCTGTATTCTTTGTAGTTAGATCAGGTGCATGAAATTTTATTACACTCCGAGCAGTACATTTTAATAGGGTATGGGCAAACTAGTGTATCTAGAGGACAGCAACCAGAATTAATATCAAGTAAAGAAGTGTTGAAAGAATGTCTTTTATTTACCTAGGAAAAAAGTCATTAAATTTGAGGGATTTTATCAGCTAGCTGATCCAGATATCAGAGGGGCTACCCATGTAAAAAGTGGCCTGTTTTGCCCATTTTATTTTAAGGATCATAATTATTATTATTTGAAATTTGTAATTTCTGTTATAGTCACCCTGTGATACCAGAAGCAATAGCATATATAATTAAAAGCAACATATATTCTGGAAACTGTTTGCCTAATCTGACATGGGGTACGTTTAGATAGAACTAAGACTGGTGGATGGAAAACTTGGTAAGCTGAGCCAGTTCAGTATAAAGAAAAATCATAATTTTATATGATCCATTCATGGGCACACTGCTTCAGAGTAAAGTGTGCCCTTTTACTACAAGTTTTCTAGCAAAGGTTAGAGAGAACCTCTTGTCAAGAACTTTCTATAGGGTGAATGGTTGACCTCAAACAATCTTAAGGGGACTTCTAGTTTAGAAAGTCTTTGATTCTATGACTAAGCAGTATACTCCAGCCAATAGAAGAAGCATTTCAGTTTCAAACAAGTGTTTCTAGCATTCTAAATCTCTGAAGGACTAGAAAGTTGTCTGATCAGAATGGACTTACTTCATAACATGCAGGGCATTTCTTGGTGCCAGCAAATAGATATTGATCAAACTGATAATTCTTAAGACTGCTTCTATGTGTGACCCACTCTGTATATTATTATGTGACAAAACTTTCGGTTATCTAATTGAAAATTGCACTTTACAATAAGGTCTTAGATTTTTTTTAAAGCATGTTAGGGACATTGGCTATCTGTAACTGCTTCTTTCCTCATTGCACCAGGTGTGTTCATCATTGCTGCTAAGCGAACACCCTTCGGAGCTTATGGAGGCCTTCTGAAAGACTTCACAGCTACTGACCTGGCTGAATTGGCTGCCAGGGCCGCCTTATCTGCTGGCAAAGTCTCACCTGAGACTATTGACAGCGTCATTGTAGGCAATGTCTTGCAGGTTAGTAGGGTGGAAGGGAAGTATTCTCCTTCCTGTTGCTTTACCAGTTTCTAAAAAATTTTATGTTTAACATGTTATAATGGTGAACTAGTTAATAATAGTTAAAGGTATATATAATCTGAGTAATCCTTTCTGACTCTAGAAGCAATGCATACATAATTCAAAACAACATATGTTCTGGAAACTATATATCAATCTGACGGGTTACATTTCATTGCTTCTTAAATAGCAAGTTAATTTCCTTGACTTACTCTAAGTCAAAGACTATGGTTCTTCCTGTGTGTCACCTAAAGAGGGCAGCAGGACAGTTGTTGATAGTATGAGAGCTGAAACAAGGTAAAGTGTCCCTTTGTACATTGTCAGCTAGGGTAGTGCAGATAAGGCAACTAAAGTTTTCTCCACTCTGCACATACCTGTGAATAACCACAAAAGCATCACAAATATTTATCTTGAGATTACAAAATCTTAGCACATAGGTGAGTTCGCAAGTATGAATCCATGAATAATGAGAATTGACTATATAGTGACTTTATATGTTTATGTCCTACCTATTTTGAGAGGTGTTAAAGGTACTAATGCATTCTGTTTTAAGAAATTCTAATATATGAAAATAGCTTTATTATAAGGAATAATTAAATGGGTTAAGGAGGTCAGAAGACACAAACTTCCAGTTACAGAGTACATAAGTCTTGGCAGCACAGGGATTTAATGTAGGGCATACCTAATAATACTGTATTCATATTTGGGAGTTGCGGAGAAGAGAGTAGATCTTAAAAATTCTCATCACAAGAAAAACAAAATTTGTAACTATGTATGGCAACAGATGTTAACTAGACCTTTTGTGGTGATCATTTCACAATATATACACTTACAAATATCAAATCTTGTACATCTGAAATTAATGTTATGTGTCAGTTATACTGGTTAACCTTAAAAATAAAACTCAGTTATTGTACCAGCAAAAATGGGTTTATTTGGAAAGAGCAGAGAATTGCAATTTAGTGCCATAGGCAAGTCCCAAGAACAAAGCAGAGGAACACTGTTTTACAGAGGAGAGGGGGGCAGTTAGGAGGAGCTCTTATAAACAAAAAAAAAATCTATTGGAGTAACCTGGGAGTTCGAAGTATAGTGGCCTTTCCTTGGCTCAGTTGTGAGTCTGTCCTTGGCTGGGCTGTTACTGGGGCAGGAGGAAAACCTTCCTTCCTCTTGCTGGGTAGCTAAATCAGTATTGTCTTGCAAGGTCCTCATCTTCCCCTTGGGTAAGGAATTCTAGATGAATGGTAAGGGAGCAAGAGCTCCCCATAATGACCCCCTAGCCCATGTTAGTGAGGTTTCCCTTCATTAATTTTCACATACCTCTATTTTTTAAAAAAAGGAATAATAGAGAATTTTTTTAAAAAGACAAGTTCTGAGTAATATTTATGGAATGTTAAAGAGCAGAGGAAACCATAGAAATTTGATAGAATTCTAGGCTTCTCTCAACACATGCAGAAACCTCCAGAGAAGTTTGAAAGACTTGACCCAGGTAGTCTGTAACAGGTCTGGCCTAGAATGCAAATCTCCTGACTTCTAGTTCAGTGTTCTTCTGTACTAAATTCTTCCCACAAATCTTAGTATTAAAAGGGACTTAGACCTAATTTCCTGGGAGTGTGCAGAGAAGATATAACCAAAAAAAACCCAGTTACTTTGTGGAAAACAGTAGCCAAAGTAGAAGACATCTGGATTATATGCATCAGGTAGGACCACATTTAAAATACACATACAAGTAAAAGCTATCTTGCTAGTAAAGGTCTCCAGAAACTATCTTTAAATCAGTCAGACTAGGATTTAACAACTCAATAAAAATTAACCACTTACGAAGCCGTTTGCAGATGCCTCTTCCAAATGAGGAACTTAGATAAACCAAAGTTCATACTGCTAGTGAATGACAGTCTAGTTTCCAATCCAAATCTCCAAACTCTTAACCTAATATATTTTCCATTACCCCAGACTACTGCGTGATTTTGTAAAACACCTATTCCACCACTCTGGACATTAGAGAGTATTAGGAGTGACTCCAAAACAAAAAACCCTGGGAAAAGAATATCTACAGATGAGCAGTCATCCTAATCAATAAGTAAAATATTCAGTCAATGGATTATTTGATGTTATACGTAGCTCCTCCCACTTCCATCTCCATTCAGAATCCCTATGCTGAATATGTGCTGAATTTGTTGAGTGTTATTTTGAAAATTTTCAAACCTAGGCAAAACAAAAAAATAGTACAACGAACATCCTAAAATTCTTTTTACTTAGATGGATTCTTCACATTTTGTCAAATTTGCTTTAGCTCTTATCTACAGTAAAAGTTTTGGTTAATACTGTCTTTTCTTTAAAGTCATTTCATCCTTCCTTATTCAGTGTGGTCCTTGGACCAGCAACATTGGCTGCAATAGGGAAATCACTGGAAATACAGAATCACAGGAAGTCCTAGACCTATTAATTGAGAGCTCACGTTTTACGGAGATGCCCCAGTAAAAATTTTAAAGTTTGGGAAGCAGTGGTCTAGTCCCACCCCTCACTCTCCTGACCCATTTATTTATCCCTCCCCTCCCTAGGTCAGCAGATGTCAGCCTCAGTTTCATTTTATCATCACCTGAGTGCTTTTAAAAGTATCTGCTGATGCCATGCCTGGCCTCCAGCCTTTCTGGTTTGCTTGGTTTGGTCGGGAGCTTGAGCATCAGTTTGTTAATGAAGCTTCGCTCCTTATTCCAGTGTGCAGCCAGGATTAGGAACCACAGCCCCAGATGTGTCCTCTGTTAAACTCAATAAAAATTAACCACTTACGAAGCCGTTTGCAGATGCCTCTTCCAAATGAGGAACTTAGTTAGATAAACCAAAGTTCATACTGCTAGTGAATGACAGTCTAGTTTCCAATCCAAATCTCCAAACTCTTAACCTGATATATTTTCCATTATCCCAGACTACTGCTTGATTTTGTAAAACACCTATTCCACCACTCTGGACATTAGAGAGTATTAGGAGTGACTCCAAAACAAAAAACCCTGGGAAAAGAATATCTACAGATGAACAGTCATCCTAATCAACAAATAAAATATTCAGTCAATGGATTATTTGATGTTATACGGAGCTCCTCCCACTTCCATCTCCATTCAGAACCCCTATGCTGAATATGTGCTGAATTTGTTGAGTGTTGTTTTGAAAATTTTCAAACCTAGGCAAAACAAAAAAATAGTACAACGAACATCCTAAAATTCTTTTTACTTAGATGGATTCTTCACATTTTGTCAAATTTGCTTTAGCTCTTATCTACAGTAAAAGTTTTGGTTAATACTGTCTTTTTTTTAAAGTCATTTCATCCTTCCTTATTCAGTGTGGTCCTTGGACCAGCAACATTGGCTGCAATAGGGAAATCACTGGAAATACAGAATCACAGGAAGTCCTAGACCTATTAATTGAGAGCTCACGTTTTACGGAGATGCCCCAGTAAAAATTTTAAAGTTTGGGAAGCAGTGGTCTAGTCCCACCCCTCACTCTCCTGACCCATTTATTTATCCCTCCCCTCCCTAGGTCAGCAGATGTCAGCCTCAGTTTCATTTTATCATCACCTGAGTGCTTTTAAAAGTATCTGCTGATGCCATGCCTGGCCTCCAGCCTTTCTGGTTTGCTTGGTTTGGTCGGGAGCTTGAGCATCAGTTTGTTAATGAAGCTTCGCTCCTTATTCCAGTGTGCAGCCAGGATTAGGAACCACAGCCCCAGATGTGTCCTCTGTTAAAGAACATAGTACTTTAACATGGCCCATTCCATTTTTAAACAGTTCTGATTGTTAAAAATTTCCATCTTATATTGAGGACTTAATATAAGGATTTCTCATGCTTAGTATGTTTAAAAACCAATTGACCAAATTATAGTTTTTATTCAAATCATAAACATATGTATTATATAAAATATGTGTAACTATATGCATTGTGTCCTACCTTAGAGCCATATAATAGTTTATAATTTTTGATAGATTGTCAACATTTCCATATATTTGGTCCTTCTTAATTCCTAGATTTGTAGAGAAAATTCTTTTTCTTTCCTCTCTGTTCTAGAGTTCTTCAGATGCTGCATACCTGGCCAGGCATGTTGGTCTGCGTGTGGGAATCCCAAAAGAGACCCCAGCTTGCACAGTGAATAGGCTCTGTGGCTCTGGTTTTCAGTCCATTGTGAGTGGTTGTCAGGTATGGGCAACATCTTATTTAATTCTCTGAAAATGCATTAAAAGTTTTTAGAGGAAATGCCCTGTCCCCACTTCACTATAACACTGTAGGTTTTTATTTTATAGAGCTGATTAGGAGAGATCAATGTTTGATTTTTCCTGGAAAAAAATTCACAGGAAAAAAATAGCTTCTTAGAAGCTAATAATGAACCTTGAAGACATTATGCAAAATGGAATAAGCCAGTCACAAAAGGACAAATACTGTGTGATTCCACTATATGAGGTACCTACAGTAGTCAAATTCTTGGAGTCAGAAAGTACAATGATGGTTGCCAGGGCTGGGGGAGGAGAGAATGAGGAATTTTTGTGTAATGGGTACTGAGTTTCATTTTGGGAAGCTGAAAAGACCTCTAGAGATGGACAGTGGTTGGTTGCACAATATGAATGTATTTAATGAACTCTATGCTTAAAATTGGTTAAAATGGTGAGTTTTAAGTTATGTGTATTTCGTGAATGGTGAAATAATAAAATGGAGTCACTTAGGTCAAGGGGTTTCAAGGGGCAATCTGTACATTTATACCGGATACTAATATCTGCTGATTTTCAAGATCTATAGTTGTAAGTAGCATTTATTATTTATGCACAAGTACTTGAAGTCTGTTTTGTTTTTGTTTTCCTGATGTCTTGCGAATAGATACGTCAGCATTTACTTTATAATTATTTTTAAAGCATTTCCTTTTGAGACACTGTAAGCTGGGATACTTGTTAGATTTACTTTAATTTACTGTTTATACATACTTTTTAATACTCTGTCACAACAAAAGGTTTTTTTCTGTTGTTGCTCATTTTTTTTGATAGGAAATTTGTGTTAAAGATGCTGAAATTGTCTTGTGTGGAGGAACCGAAAACATGAGCCAGGCTCCCTACTGTGTCAGAAATGCACGTTTTGGAACCAAGCTGGGATCAGATCTCAAGGTTGAAACCATTAGAATTTTGAAAATTTAATCCTCTTGCAATTATAATAATTTTAATAGCACCATTTTGGGGGAAAGCAAAGTAATTTTGAAAACAATTTTGCTAATAGGGATTGGCAAGATCTGAGTGATTTGAAATTTGTGAACTATTTCAAAACCCTATTTCAGTTGTTAGTTTTGACATTTAAACCCACCCAAAATTAGCCGTTATCTCAGCACACCTCTGGTAATGGAATTAGTACCTGGCAAGATGGAGGAAAGGAAGAAGCAAAAGTTGAATTAATCTCTCTATTGATTGGTAAACCAAGTAACTTAAGTCTAATCATGATTCATGGAAATTTATTTCTGGAGCAGTATCTATTGAATTAAATATCTTCTTCATCACAAAAAATATTCCCTTTGAATATGTTATATTGTCCCAAATCTGTCAGACAAAAAATTGTTACATCTCTTTGAGAGCTACAACATGAGAATGCTAATTCTGATAGTATGCTGTCCTTCTCATATGAAAGGGCTAATGACATTTTGTATTTTTAGCATTTTCCAATAATAATGATTGATTTGCAGTGTTCACCCAGCCTTTACACTATTCACCTAGCTTTTTTGGAAGTTGAAAGGAGTAAGACTTAGGAAATATAAGATAGTTTTTGGATATAAATATATTTGAAAAAACCTTTGGAAAGATGGGTCAGTGACACAGAAGGTGATAAGGCAATCTAGAAGAAACAGATGGGGCACACTTTATTAGAGACTAATTGGATAAGTAACAACTCTTTCTGGTACTGAAGGAGCTTGTCCCAGGTTCTTTTCAACCTGATAGTAACTGATAGAACCAGCTGTTGCTGTCACTGAAGGCATGGGGTGAAAAAGGAACACAGATACAATCTTTCTACAGAGCTCCTAATTGGTTCACAAAGGTGGCCACGGGGAAACATTGCATGAGGACACAGTGTTAGGTCTCTATAAAATGTAACCTTGAGGGTTTAGTTTTTGATTGTGGAATAACTTCCTGTGTCCTCATCCTGCACATTTAGCACTGTTGGCTCCCTATAGAGCCCCACATTTAGAAAGAGGGGAGAATGTGTGCAGTGTATTATGACATTAGGTGCTTTTACAAAATGTCTCAGAACCAAATATGAACAGTATTACAGTAAATAATATCAGAAACTCTATTTCTACTTTGTTTGTTAGATCTCTTAATTACTTAAATTTGAAGAAATTACAGCATATTTCTTTCAAAAGATATGCTTTAATAAATCATTATTATTAATGTCTTTTAATAGCTGGAAGATTCTTTGTGGTCAGGATTAACAGATCAGCACATCAAACTCCCCATGGCAATTACCGCAGAGAATCTTGCTGTGAAATATAATATAAGCAGAGAAGACTCTGACAAATATGCCCTGCAGACGCAGCAGAGGTGGAAAGCTGGTCAGTGAAATGGGATATTTTACATAGCTTTAGAAAAAAAGCTATAGCAGGGTGGGGAGTGGGTGAAATGGATGAAAGGAGTCGGAAGATAAGAAACTTTCGGTTGTAAATAAGTCATGGGGATGTAATGTACAGCACGGTGACTCTAGTTAATAATACTGCATTACATTTTTGAAAGTTGCTAAGAGAGTAGATCTCATCATAAGAGTTCTCATCATAAAAAAAACAAATTTTGTAACCGTAATGGTGACAGATGTTAACCAGACTCATTGTGCTGATCATTTCACAATAGAGTAGTGCCCCCTTGTCTGTGGTTTGGCTTCCCATGGTTTCAGTTACCCGCAATGATTCTCCTCCTGACATATCATCATCGGATCAGTAGTAGTCTAATGCTGTGTCACAATGCCTGCCATTCCCCTCACTTCATCTCATCCCATAGGCATCGTGTCATCTTATATCATCACAAGAAGAGTGAGTACGGCACAATAAGATATTCTGAGAGAGAGAAACCACATTCATGTAATTTTTTACAGTATATTGTTATAATTGTTCTATTTTATTATTAGTTACTGTTAATCTCTTACTGTGCCTAATATATAAATTAAGCTTTATTATAGGTATGATTTATAGGAAAAAGCAGTATATATATATATATATAAGGTTCAGTACAATCCATGTTTGCAGGCCTGCAACTGCATACTGAGAGTTTGGGAACATAGTCCTCATGGGACCACTGTATTATACAAATAGCAAATAATTATGTTGTACACCTGAAACTACTATGTTATGTGTTTCAATTATACCTCAATTTTTTGAAAAGTTATTTTTGAAAAGGAAAGAGTTTTATCATTTCAGAGTACAATGATTATATAATAGAATTCATTTAAAATTATACCTTTTGAAAACCACAGTTTTTTTTAATCATTCCTTTTTTTTTAGATGATCAGATGTTCTGTTAAGGATTGTAAAATTAACTAGGAATTTCTCTTTGGACACCTGAATTTTGTCCCAAACTAGACATATTGCCAGTAGAACGCTCTGAGGATTAGAATACACTATCAGAGATGATGGCTTACTGGGGCTTCTGGGACAAAACGATGTCCTCCTCTGTGAGGTATGTCCTCTTCACAAGGAGGGGATGATGTGTTTGAAAAGACCCTTTGGTTACCCTTTGATACCCACCCCTCCATTCCTAATTGAGAATTGTTGCACCTGCTCGGCCTTTATACAACTCCTATGCCCTAGCTATGAGGCCCTTGTGTGACATTTCCCACTGCTACTGACCAATCCAAAATGAGCAATTTCAGTTGTTGTGAAAACCAAATAAGGAGAGTTAGCCTGCTGTAGTGATTTCAAGATTAAGGTGGTGTTATTCCTGACTTACCCTCTTTCTGACCCTTTGCATTACTATGGTCCATTCCAGTCAGTGGAGGTAGAGTAGGTCAGCTGTTTTACTTAGTGATAGCTAATATAATTTCTTCAGGTTGCTTATCATTGAATTTCAGTGATAGATTACTTGGTGACATAAACAACTTGGTAACTTCATTTTTCTTATTGTGGTAAGAGCACTTATGATGAGATCTACCCTCTTAACAAATTTTTTAATGTACATTATTATTATAAAACTTAGTAACTTTTTGATTACTTCTTAGCTCACCCAGACAAGTTTAAAAAGGTCATTAAATCCATTCAGTGCCATTACATCTGTAGCTAACAAATACTGCTAGCAGTCTAGTAGTACCTCATAAAAAAATTACTGTAAAAAAATCAAAATTGTAATTTAATAAAGGTACAGTACTCATAGATACATAATAGTTTACTAAATCCTCCAATAGGCAAGGTAAGTTGTATAAGTAACAAAGGCTCATATTAAAATAGGCTATGAGGAAAGGTAGCCTAGAAATTAAATTGAAGAGTATGTTAAAGTTAGTTTCTTTTCTTATTTATCTTCATTCTCTCCTATCCTTATGATAGTCTTTCTACTATTTCAGCTAATGATTCTGGCCACTTTAATAATGAGATGGTACCAGTTGAGGTGAAGACAAAGAAAGGAAAACAAACAATGGAAGTAGATGAGCATGCTCGGCCCCAAACAACCCTGGAACAATTAAGCAAACTCCCTCCAGTATTCAAGAAAGACGGAACCGTCACTGCAGGGAACGCGTCGGTAGGTGGCACCACAGATTATCTTGAACCCTTCCTAATGTGTTCAGTGCAAAATAATCATGCAGCATATTTTACTAGTCTTTAGGTATTTAGCTTAAACTAGTAGTGTTCATCCTCTATTATTTTTGGTTTCCATAGTCCAAAACAAAATCCCTTTCCAGTACTTATATATAATATTCTTCCAACTTCTTAGGCTTTTCAAAATGTTAGAAGGAAATCTACCTGGTTTATTTCAGTTTTCACACTTTTTTTCTTCTCATATATACAACTCATTAGATTTCTTCTTATATCTATCCAGATCTGGAAATAAGCTTTTCTTTGAATTTTTCCTGTTTTCCCTTAGTGAGATTGTATTTTGTGCCTAAAGCAATCTTTAATCCACCAGAGTACCACATTTACTATTTGTTGTATCCCGAATTATGCCAGTGCTTTAAGTGAATTACCATAATCCTAATACTACTGTATTAGTTCAAACTTTGATTAACTGGATTCTTTTATCCTCTAGTTAATATTCTGCTTTTGTTTCCTAGGGGGTATCTGATGGTGCTGGAGCTGTTATCTTAGCTAGTGAAGATGCTGTTAAAAAACATAACTTCACACCGCTGGCAAGAGTTGTGGGCTATTTTGTGTCTGGATGTGATCCCACTATCATGGGTATCGGTAAGTTTGTAGTGAAACAAACTGGTTCTGGTACATTTCTGAAGATAATTATGTCTTCTTTGGCATTCAGATTCCTGAAATATTAACCAAATCAAGGTCACTTGTGGAGAAAAGTGGAGATTGGTTATCAGTCATTTAAACAACTAATCTTTAGTAGAAACTCTGCCAGGCATGATAGGAAAACCAGACTAGATAACCTTCTGTAGGCACTAGTCATGGCTTACTGTTCATTTGGGTATTTAAAATTAACACACAAAAAATAGCAGAGAAAAATTACAAGGTACTGATAGGATAAACAAAAGTGAGAGATGAGAGAAATCATGGGGTGAGATAAAGAAAAAGCCTGGAAGGAGAAGATCAATACCTTACTGAGGGCTTTACATGTGGTCATTAATGTACCACATTTATCCTTCCCACAATTGTAGTAAATAAGATTTCTTTGTGAATGAGAAAATTGAGATTTAGGGAGGTTGTCTTATAAAGTTGAACCAGGAAGTGAGAGCATGATAGGAAAACCAGACTAGATAACCTTCTGTAGGCACTAGTCATGGCTTACTGTTCATTTGGGTATTTAAAATTAACACACAAAAAATAGCAGAGAAAAATTACAAGGTACTGATAGGATAAACAAAAGTGAGAGATGAGAGAAATCATGGGGTGAGATAAAGAAAAAGCCTGGAAGGAGAAGATCAATACCTTACTGAGGGCTTTACATGTGGTCATTAATGTACCACATTTATCCTTCCCACAATTGTAGTAAATAAGATTTCTTTGTGAATGAGAAAATTGAGATTTACGGAGGTTGTCTTATAAAGTTGAACCAGGAAGTGAGGGAGCCAGGGTGTGAATCCAGGTTCTCTAACTTCAGATGCTATTTTTACTGTGTTGACTCAGGAAGTCAGAGTAATACTCACCCGGCTCAGCTGAGGCTTAATAGGAAAATGAATTACAAACAATATATCTCAAATGGCAATGTACCAGCAGGAGAAAATTTGGAACTCCCTACAAACATGTATAGTGTTGGCTCAAAAAAAATCAACTAGAAGGACAACAAAAAGGTTTTTGCTGGATGTACTAGGAACTGCAGATGATGCTGAATTTTAATAGCTCCCTTTATCATTCTGTGGGGAAATGGAACTAATTAGGGGCCTCAATTACAAAGATAAGCTTGGTGCCCAGAGGCTTTGATCTATCCCGTCTATACCCTCATTCCTCAAGGAAGAGTTTGCTCCCTAGGGTATATTCAGATTCTTGATATAGGTCCAAAGATTTTTCTATGAGCTTAGGTAGGCCTTTTTTGACTAAGTTGGTTTTTGAAGTAGGTCCCAAGATAGAATGGGGAATGACCTGTAGCTAACCGGCCTTCTCAGACATCCTGGAGTGAAAGCCTCCAGGTCCTACTCAAAATACTACCATTAGTGCTGATTTGGGACTCAGTTCATACCCAACTATATTTCCTGCCATGCCTACAAAAAAGAGATCCCTATATGGAATCCCATAGAAAGAAAGCTAGCATGTCCCTACCTTGTCGTCTTTCACTGTGTTTCAAGTTATATCAACCAAAACTTCAAGCTATGTAAGCATCTGTTAAAAGCCCATTTTTTTCTAGGTTATATTCTTAAAAGCTTATTAGCTTTCTGCTACCCACTATCAGTAAAACACAGCTTTTATCTTAGAGATGGGAGGTAGCTTGAAAAGTAAAACATCTGTATATTGGCATAGCATTTGTCCTTTTGGTGTCTAGAGCAGTGGTTCCCCATCCCAAATGATCATCAAAAGTCACCCATAACCCCACCCTGCAAGATTTTGTTTCCTTAGGTCTCGGGTAGAACCTAGGGGTATGGGTTTGTATGTTTTTCAGTGTACCCAGAGCAATTTGGTGATCAATCAGACTTATCTGATATAGATAAGTAGTTACTTTATAGTTCTTTTTCAGTTTAACCTCATTTAATAGGGTCTGATACATTAACAAAGTCAGGGAACAAAGAAAATGTAGTTTTCCTTCCTCCTATTCCAGGGCATGGCTGTTTGCTCTGTGGTACAGTGAATGCCGTTGTGGAAGGATTGCCTTTTTCCTCAGGGTTGGAGCAGAGCTGTATGTGGCAAATGTCCCCTTCACCTAGTCAGCTCGTCTGTCCATTGTAGTACGAGATTAAACAAGGTAACTTCAAGAAGTGCACCAGATGACTAACAAGAGAGAATAGGTTGTTGAGTGTCTCTGGTGGGGCTTGATTCACAGGTCCAGTTTCTAAGAATAGATGTTCCTAGGTTAGGCAGTTACCAACATAGAGCAATCCTTATTCCTGAAGAGCAGCTGCAGACCCAGAAAAAGGGGAAACCGGGACGTGAAGGGAGCAGTATGGCCCCAAGGAAGGACGCGCTGAGGAAGGACAGTGTGCCCAGGAAAGCCCTGGTCGGGCAAGATGCAGGATGGAGCTCTGAACCTCTTCAGCTGTAGCAGCTCTGGTTTTATCTTTTATTGGGCTACATTTGTAGAAAGGATTCCAGTGCTTAAAAAGAAAAGCTCTGATGAGAAGCTTATAGCCCAAAAATGAGCCCAAGGCCACACAGCTATTTGTGGGGAGCCAGGACTAGAAACAAGGTGTCTTTTTCCCAATAAGAATACTGTACCTTTCTGAGTCCCTGTAAATAACTCCAATGATGTGGAAATAGTCCTTTAAAAATCAAGTTGGGCCTGACAGTTGACTGTAACAATTCTAAGTTAACATGAACACAGTGAGTCCTGCCAAGGTTATGAACAGCGAAGCATGTTCAGTGGTTTTACACCCTCATCTTTTGTTCTGTGTCTCCTTCACGCCTGTGGGGTACTCCATCCTCTGACCATGCTGATAACTGATGCTCTGCTGCTGACTCTCCATCTTACTTTCATGCCTTAGCGATACAGAGGTAATCTGGAACTAGATTCTCTATTAATCAGTAGGCAGCATAGAACTGGTGCTTTAAATTTTAAATCATTAACGGATTGCCCTAACCAATCAGTATACTATTGTCCAAAGAACATCTTAACTAGGCAAAAAATAATAATTACATTATTTTTAGATTTGCATTATGCTTTTCTTGATTGATTTCCCATTTTACTGTAGGTAAACGTTGCAGAACATTTGACTACTTGCTATCTTGTATCAACAGAATATAACACATAATCTTCTTTTTAGACATTAATGGCAATTTCATTCTCTAAGAACAGAGAGAAAAACAGATAATCTTCTCTAATCAGGTTTTTTTACCTTTTGGAAAAAAAATACCAGTATACTTGAAAATCATGAGTAATATTAAACTGTCATTGGTGATCATCAGAAATCTGGGAGCTAACGTTTCAGAAGACCTACAGTGGGGGTTGTTTTACTTCAATGCTCTGCCTACCATTGGAATTATAGGCATCTCTTGGCTTCAGTAATCATTCCCCTGAAGTGTCTTGTGGCTTCCTTCTTGCTGTGCCTCTGTGGAGAGATTGCTGCTATTTCTTGCCTTTTGTCCAAATGGTCTGAAAATTCAGAGTATAGCCACAAATCACTTCTCCACTAGGCACGCATATGATTTACATCCTGGAAGAACACTCATTCAGCCTTGCCATTTGGTATAAAATATCATCTATAAAGGATTACAAAATCCCATATGACTCCTTTGGTCAATGGTATGAACTCTTAAGGCCATTTATGGTAGAACTTTTCCATGTAAATTTGTCACCTGTAGTTTGATGCATAAACAGATTTCACCTTGGTCCTGTTTTCTGTTTCTTCATTGTCACTGTAGTGTGCTATCAAGATAGCAAGATTTGTGGTCACTGTGGTGTACTATCAAGGTAGCAAGATTTGTGTTGCAGTATTTCCTCCTTATTTACCTATTTAGTAAAAAAGGAGAAATTTGATACTCAAATAAGTAGAAGATAAAATTGGTTTGGTTCTTATATAGGTCCTGTCCCTGCTATCAGTGGAGCTCTGAAGAAAACAGGACAGAGTCTTAAGGACATGGATTTGATAGAGGTCAGTGTTCTGCTTCTAACAACGCGAATAAACACCAACTCCTATAGCATAAATGGCTTTAATTTAGTATGTTATAGCTCTATTGTTTTATTACTATTAGCCTTTCCAAATGGCGTGCATCTAAATAAGTATTACATTCAGTACATGCCTGTGTTGGAGCTTTTCCCTACCTGATTAATGCTTTATTTATATTTGAGTAATTAAAACAGCCTGTTTCTTCTAAAGTATAAATTCCTGGAAATGTCTTAGGACCTTATAAAACTCTGTTATATTTTAGACTATTAATGTGCTTATTGAATTGAATGTTATATAAGGTGGATGACAAATAAGTACCTTTAACCTTATATTATGGATTGAAATGAAAAAATATGAATAAAGAAATTGACCTAATAGAAAAACAACATCTGGTACCAAATCTAGAAGTTTTCTGCCCTCCTTCACAATTAAACACTCCCATTTCCCCCAGATTTACCTTTGGCTTTTACACCATAGTTATGGCTTGATTTGGAATTTCATAATTGTTGGCCTTAGAAACTTAAATTTATATTTTTTTATAAAAATAAAAAAATTTTTATTTTTAATGTTAGTTTAGAAAAAAGGCAACTTTGACAGTACAGCACAATAAAAAGGAGTGCAGAAGAAAATACTTAAGGATATATATGTATACATTCTACATTTGAAGAGTAAAATTTTAAGGTAATTGAGCATATATAACTTGACATTGGGAAATAACTAATATAATAAAGAAATCTCTCTATTTAAATTGATAGAGATGAGGCCTTTTCACTCTAGGCAAATGTGATTTCCTGTGATAATCTCTTACCCTTGAAACCATGGTTTCAGACAAATGGTTTATCCTTAAATCTCTTCCATTCTTAGGCAGTCACAGTTTAGAGCCTCAAGGGGACTATTTACTTATATCTGTATTAGCAAATAGGTGCCACTAAATTTCTGGCTTTAGATTTCACATTTAAAATTCTGTGGAAATATGTCAGCTCTGCAAGCTGTTCATAACCATTGACAGCTCTCAATACCCTGATGGGATTGTCTTTGGGACTTCTGATGATCAGGTTTTTCCTAGGTTCAGAAGCCTAGTTACATAACATTTTTAAGTCTCTTAGTACCTCCTTAAGCATGACTATATCAAATGGAAAAATAATGTTGGATCTAAGGACAAATAAAGCACCATCTTGAGAGAGCACAAAATATAGTAGAAAAGAACACAAGACTTGATTTTGATCCCATCTCTATAAAAAGTTACCTCTTAAAATTAGTTTTCTTCTCTATACAATTCCCTAACTAAGATCATATGAAAATGCAGTACTGCAAACTTGGCAGTAATGTAATTCTCATAGCCAGCCTTTTTAGTATGATACAGTATGATACTCTTCAGATCTGCCACATTTCAACATAGTAACCATTCCTCTTCTGTTTCTGGCTCTGAAGGTTTAGTCTTTGTTGTCTATCAGCTTCCTCTTAGAAGTATGGCTAATAGTAATGGGTAATAATAATAATAGCAATATTAAGTAATGCAATTTAATAATTGCAGTAAATACTTGCAATGTATTAGTAATACAGTAGACACTTAATATCTGTAATTTCATTTAGTCTTAACAGTAACTCTTAGGATATACTACAGTCACATTTTACTGTTGAGGAAACTTGAGTATCAAGAGAATTTAAAGAACATGCATGCAGCCAAGATCTGAGCCATCCATGTAGCTCCAGAAACAATGGGCTTTCTACAGTCTCCCACTGCCTCTAGTAGGTATTCATTTATAATATTACTGAGGATTTCTTTTCTCTGAGGGAGGTATTTGACTAAAAGTATCATTTAGTAAATACAACCATTTTCAAACCTGGTATCTTTACAAAGAATGATTGAAGAT